ATCTATTTTATTTAAATGACACACACACACACAATTGGACTATATACAGTGAGTGCAAAAAGTATTCGTACAAAAAAAATATTTTTTTTAAATCTTAGGGTAACTCCGATATATACGCCGCACCTAAAAACTGAAATTGTGAAATATTATTTACTATGTTTAAAGTAAACGAACTACATTAGTGTCTACTATTGTGAAAAAAATATTGGAAATCCGAAATATTTCGTAAAAAAATGAACTTTTTAAAAAACTCTTGTATTTTTGCCATATCCCATAAGGGTAGGATATGACTACTCATAGGGGGAGGGGAGATATGACGGTTCATGAAAAATTTACAAATAATACATATAAATAAGTCGTAAAACACAATAACATATAAAATGACAAACTAAACAAAGAATGTAAGAACAAAATACTTGTATTTTGTTATACAACATGCTTTATTCCTCTACACTCATGTATCGCAAGAAATAACCATAAGTCTTTTGCACGTCCTACATTTAATCATTTTATGTATTATATAATAGATTATAATTTATGATGACGCTACTCAACACAATGACAAATCGATTCAACTTACAATAACTTCATTAATATTAACAGTAAGAAACTGAAATTATACAATACTAATATACACAATACAACATAAAGGCATGCACAATGTAACAAAGTAGTTGCGGGAAAATTACTCTCATTCCTTTCATTTTTTTCTGACTTCTACAGCGTAAATCCCAGTGCGACGTATTTGTCGGAGTTACTCTATATTTTTTAAAAGTAAACATTATCCAGCGAGAAATGATTTATTGAATTGATATCGAATTGACATCGATACGATGATTTCGACACCAACTCGACGTTGATTCGACATCTAATTAACGATCATTTCTTGCTGGATAATTAACAATTTATTCGTAAAGAATAAAATAGACTGTACGTTTCTCAAATATATTCTAAAAGATGTATGTAATAATAGAAAATATATCATATTAAAAATAAGCGAAAATTAAAAATTGTGTTGTTTGTATTGTTTGCTCAAAAAGTATTCGTACAGTCAAGAAAAGCTTCTAATATTAGGGATGCACATGAAGTTCGTTTCTTTAAGCTAGAACAGAATATATTCATTGTACGAAATTGCTAATTAATGTTTATTTTCTTCAACTATGACTTTTATAAAAAAATTTTCTTGTACGCATTATATCGCATAAAAGTAACAAGTTATTTTTTAAAAGTTATTTTGCCAACTTTGACGTTATTATTACTGTTCCTAAAAAAATTGTGACATTATTACTAAATTGTTATTACAAAAAAGTGTGTACGCCAAGTACATACGTATATTGTTAACGACAGTCACTATTTATCGATTATTGAACGATTTTTTATAAAATCGCAAAATTATAAATGCGCTTGTTCAACCCCAATATTTTTTCAGGGTTTAATGTACCCTGATTTTTTGCATTGCTTTAACTTTTTATAATATAATTTGAAGACCTGGATTAAATTTAAACATTTTAGATTTTTTTTCCTAAGTGATCATTTTTTGCGAATTTTTCTAATAACATTTCTTTGAAGCATTGTAATTAATTGAAAATAAAATATTATCTGATTCATTTTATCTGTCTTTGTTTGACTTCGAGGTATAAATTTCACACGATTTAAGTTAAAAATACCTTCAGTCCAGGGATATAGCGTGACAAGTTGCAGAGTTTCGCAAATTCTAATGTAACAGGAAACAAAACCAAAAATAATAATAATTTACTAGGGTTAAATAACGTCATTTTTTGCATTTTTTAAATTGTAACGTTCCCTAGGAGTTCCTCAGCGCTCTAATAAGGCTTAAGCTTCAAAAGTCCGTATGTTAACGCACTACTGTATATACTCCATCATTCTATCATTTAAAGATGAATTTGATAGATTACTTATTCTTTCTTTCCTTTTAAGTTAATAACTAGATTATAATCTGTGTTCATAAAAGTTTATATTAAATATTTTATCGTTAAAAGTTTGAAATGTATGAAAAACTTCTGTTAGAAGTTCATTAAGAATGGCCTATTTCTTTGTAAAAGTTACGATAGCAATCGATAGCTATACTGTATCACTCAATAACGATAGCATTTTAGGATTAATATATGTATATAGATATTAATATATATAGATATATAATATAGATATTATTAGAGAGTTATAGAATAGAGATCGTTATTTATTTTCTTGCAATTGTAAGTTGAAAGTTACTTATTTTTCCTCGTTTCTTTTATATAAAAGAATATTATTTTGTGATATTTGTAAATGCCTGTAGCGTGATCGATTTAAAAGGACTACGAAGAACACAATAAAAAAAAACTCCAGCTTTCACGATTGATTCACACTGGCAGCTCGCAGCAAAACGCAAACGGGAAACAGAAATGTAGGATCGTATCGGCGAAAACACGGTGGTTGCTTTCGATGTCAAAAAAAAGCTTTGCAGTTCAATGTTATCCATTAGTGGTTTGCTGACACTGTCACGTGTATGCTGCGTAATCTTTTAATCAAACATTATTTATCAAACACTTCTCGAGGGATAAGAAAGCATCGGGTGGAACGAAGCTCTGGTGGGACTTCGGCTTAAGAGACTAACGTTAAATTCTATTCTGTTCAGAACAGAGAAAGTTTTCCACCAAGTTGGACCGGATGCTATTAACGTAGGTTTATTGTGTCGTACATTCGAGTGAACTCCGCCGATTTAGTATCCATAATGTTCTTATTGTTCGTAGAATCTTTAATAAAAGGGAAGAACGGAATTAATTTAGAGCTAATGAAGGATTCAAGCGTGGAAAGATTGCTCCCTCGAGAGTTTTGGGAATTAACATTTTCTCTGCAAACCGGGATTTTCTTGAAATTGTAAATTGATATCCGGAAATGATGTTTGTAGCGTATCGCACCGGATGTAAACGGATCGTATCAAACGTTGAGTTTCTTAGAATTGACTGTGAATACGACAAATTAGCGCGGAATTACCATTTGAGTTACGATGCGATTGATTCAGGGAGTTCTAGCTTTCACAAATCGACGTAGCTTGGGACGTGCTTCGGCGAAAAGAGCAGCAGCAGACAGAGAGACGAAGACGGAAATGTAGGAAGGACGAGGAGAGCGCACGCTAAAATTTGCATTTAAACTTAGGCTGACGTAGACCAAGTTTTCTATGGCGTCGGTGCCGCGCGCCATTAGCGCGGCCCACGGCATTATTATATTTTGTATTTAACCAAAACTTCGACTGCCTGTTCCCAAAGTTAAGCCTCTACCGCCGCCACCTCGCGCAGGGCCTACCAAGGAGTTCTAAGTTTTCACAGCAGCTTTCGCGTTTCGTTCTCGCCGATGAAGGAATTCACTACCGCGAGAAAGAGAAAAACACACACACACAGAGAGAGAGAGAGAGAGAGAGAGAGAAAGAGAGGAGTAAACGTTGCCGTTTGCTTTTCAAAGGGACGGACGATTCTACTCTCTTTTGTTGATCCTTTTGTTACGTTTTCGCGCGTGTCTCTGAATGTACGCTTCTGTTTGCTTTCTTTGCCGAAATAGTCACTAGAACGATGGCCCGAAATGTTTCAAACTTCTCCCATTTTGCGCTTATTGCACCATTATGCTGAGTGTTATAATATATCTCTCCCTATTTTACATTTTACATTTTACTTATTTTTTAAAAGGTTAAGTGGACAATAGACATTATCAGATTATTCTGAAATATCATGTCGCATATATTTCATCATAATAATAGTATTATTTATTAAATCATCATTCATTTATGAAATTATTGACGCAAAAGAATGCAACGAAAAAATAACAATAATAAATATAAATGTTTTCTATATTTTCCAATTAATCCCAAAAATTGTGAACAAATTGCGATACAAAAATAATCCGAATTAAAAAAGAAAAATAAAATGCTAATAATTGCACGTAAAAATAATGATTTTTGTCTTGTGTATCTTAATTAAAATAATTATAACACCACGTTGTGTGTTGAGGCACAAGGTATTAATTATATGTAAATGTATAAATAAAATATATTGCATATAAAAATAATCAATCATGAGATAACAGTTTAATTAGGAAATTAATTTTCTGCTTTAAAATACTTTTAATTCTCCGTCTGCAATCGTATTTTTATTCCCTCTTAATCTGAATTTTTTGGGTGCAAATTTTTTACTGTTAGGCTTTTGAAAAACGTAGAAAAATTTAGTTACACTTCAACATTTCTGTTACATTATCAATCTTTTAACTTAAATGTTAAAACTTTTATTTAATAAAAGTTGAAGTTTGAACAAAAATGAACATAAAATGGAAATTTGTTTAAAAATGTATAACTTAGTGATAAAAGAATCGAACTTTACTTTCCTTTATTTCGGAGAAATTTCAGTGAAATGACATCCAAAATTGCAGACGGAAAACTAATAGTTCTCGATAAAATCAATTTTAAGATTAAATTGTCATGAAATATATATAATGCGAAATTAAACGCGACTTGTTCAAAAAGATATCATCTAAAGAAATAATCATTGAAAAATAATAATTGTATCTACGGCTACGTCACGCAGTACGATATTACATAACAACCGCGTGGGTCGGTTATAATGAATCGTTACAATGCTGTGTCTCGAAGCGTCTCGTGGTCACGCCGTAATATTGAAGTTCGATATTTCATTATCTAGTTAACTTGTGGTTTAAACCTAACATCACTTTATTTGATAATAATGTAAAAATTGTGATTTTCTAGCTATAATTAATAAACTAATGGTTTTGTAATGGTATTTTTAAAAGTTATTCAACAAAATTATTAATTTATGGTGATTAACCAGGGTATACAAAAATACAATTTTTACATTATTATCAGTCTAGTCAAGTTAATAAGCAAAGTGAAAAATCAGATCTGAACGGTATTCTGTGTATATTTTTCCTATCGAATAAATGTCATGTTGACAGTGTCGAAATCACGGTGCGGCGGTGCGTGCTCAGAATCAATGATGTTCTCCAATATTCGGTGATCGAAGGGACTGGTTAACGAGACGATCGTCCGTAGCTGCATGATGTTCAAATCGACATTCCTTGGGAATTTGAATTTTCCACTAACATCGTAGTGCCTCGGCAGCAAAGGAAGATCCGTTCCTCAGATTATTTGCTCGCCTCAAGTGCATGCGTGTGTGGGAGTTCGAAGTGATGAAAGCAGCAGTCAACTAGGAGCTTTTTTTGGAGGAGATGTCAGATGCCTGCGACTTGGATCGGTGAGTGAACTGCTTCCCTTTATCTTTTTGCGAGCAAAATCCTTCATCCGTTTCTGTCAGTACGTCACAATATTTCGCGCTCTCGACAACGAGTGTGTGGCAATGAATAGCAAAGCATTGTCTGAGAAAGTGGCTTGCGACATGCACGGCGTGCTGCGGCGGTTAACGTCGACGGGGAATTTGCGAAATGGCCGTCGGCGTAAATTTCGTCGGCCGTTTCGCGGGTCGCGATGCCTGACGCGTGCATAATTTATAATTTTAATAACCGCGCGGCAAGTACCGGGAGCCTCCACCATCGAGGCCTTACCGACTTCGCTCGTTTCACCCTCACGTGACGACAATCTGCTTGAGTAATGGCACTAACAAGTGGGAGAAGAACTTTCGAAGAAACTCAACCGCTAATCCGGCATCCTCCGCTAAATCGTTCCCTGACTTTTGCATGCTGCAACCTATTAGACTAATTGAATTGCAGTTGCTTTTGCTTTCTAGAAATCTCAGATTAATGTCAAAATTGTTAAGCAAATTATGTTTCATTAATTTTGTGCACATACTCCACTTTTAGAAGAAAAATATCAAAGAAACAACAATTTCTTTTTAATGTAAGAAACTTGTGAATAACGGAAATTCAGTTATCATTTCGACGTCCTTGACCTCTCCCCGACTTTTGCACGTTTGCATGCTGCAACTTAATAAAATGCTGTAATATATCGATTTTTAACTGAATCGTATTGAGGTTTTGTTTTTTAGAAGTGTCAGATAAATGTTGAAATGTTAAGCAAATTATGTTTTATTGTTCATGTCTCATTTTTAGAAAAAGAATATCAAATTAACAATTTTTTTTAATGTAAGAAACTTGTGAATAATAGAAATTCAACCACCACTTCGGCGTTCCGACCTTGACCGTTTCGACTTGCGCATGTTCCAAATTATTAGGGATTATTCTCATAGCACATCGATTTTTAATTAAATCCCAATTACTTTAATTTTCTAGAAATTTTAAATTAATGTTGGAATTGTGAAACAAATTACTTTTTACTACAACATATACTTTTACATCTAAAAAATAATGATTTATTTTTGAGAAAAGAAATATCAAAGCAATGTATTTTTTTTAATTTAAGGAATTAAAAAGTTTTCAGCAACTAAACCTTAACAAATAGAAACAGATAGCAAATTTTTTTTTGTTTATAATTCGAATATTATTTTAACTGATTTGTAATTTATAAATTAAGTGCAATGGTATTCAAATTTTTAAATTGCGATGAATAGTTTATAAGTGTTTTTTCCTAATGTTCATAATACTTAATCATTTACGTGCAATATTTAATACTTAATAAATTTCACAACAATTTTCAATGTAATCCTCGTTTTTAATGGCGTAAACGCGCAAATTTCGGCCATGTAAACGCACATAAGATAAGATCGTAAAAGGGAACGGTTACAAAAAGTTTCATAATCTTAACTATAGTCGCTCTTAAAAACTTTCCAATGTCTTTGGACGAATAGCTTCCTGGGCAGTATGATCTTATTAAAATATCATCTTTAAGTTGTACTATGCCCGCGCCTGAAAACTTAAATGAAAATTTATAAGTATCAGAAAAGTCTTTTAAGGCAGATGTTTTTCTTTAGTTATTGACTTTCAGTTACTACCATCAGCTCCAGTTTACCATAAACCCCTTTTACACGCGCAAATGTAATCAAATATTTAATCCTAGCTGCGTTACATCTTTTGTCGCAATATTTTGCCATAAATCGATCGTAACCCGTTTATCCGCGCTGTATAAGTATGCATAAAGCGTTCAACAATCTGGTTCGATATGTAACGTAAAAATTTGAAGCGAAATAACAGACATCAATTTCGCAAATTCTTATCCGACGTGAAATATGTGTCGCATTAATAAACAGTCGCGACAAATATGCTTGTTCTTCGATAATATGTCGGGACGTCGCTTCAGATGTCCTACTGGGATCTTGTTAAAGCAATGGCAAGCAATTACTCGCAAGTTTACTTTATAAGCGACGAACTGGAAAATATCACTGTGAAAGGTCATAAACAATTCTGAACTGTTTGCGTTTTAGGTTGACAAACAGCTCGATATCAGATATATTTTATCTCTGTACATGTATACGTTAATGTCCTTTTGTCTCGCCTTGCAATTGTGTCTTATCAAAAATGAAATATCTGTTATTCTATTTATTATATATTGTAATCATAATAATATTATTACCACAAGTGTTTCATTCTTGATAAAACACGATCATAAAGCGAGATAAGATGGCGCATAATATTAGATCATTTAAAAAGTATCCGCGGTTTTTTGTTCAATTTTTGAATGAAAAAACCGCGGATACTTTTTAAATGACCCAATATATTATATTATTATATGTAATAATATCACAATATTCTATTTTTAGTATACGAATATAGAACACAATTACAAGACAAGTAATAATATATTAGACACGTGTTACATGACATAATATATAAAAATTACAGTATTACATATTTAATAGGACACGACTGCAAGACGAGATAAAATGACATGCAATATAATATATTATAATATTAGGTGTTGGAATTAATTCGTAGCGTTTTACAAGTGATGGGAAGTACTTTCATTAATGTATTTTTTAATGCTCATGTGAAATAAATAACATTCTTTCATTAAAAAACGCTACGAATTAATTCCAACACCTAATAATATAATAATCACAGATATTCCATTTTTGATAAAACATGATTGCAAGATGAGACAAGATAGCACTAATATAATATAAATGAAATAAAACGAAGTATTTAATATCATGCTAACTTTGTCAAATTAAAACGCAAATAGTTCAAAATCTTTTATGAGCTTTCACAGTAACATTTTTCAATTTGTCGCTGATTATATATTATTGTATGTATTATATATATATATATATAATAATTATAAATATTATTACTTATTATAATAATATATATATATATTTATATACATAATAATATTTAGTTACCTCACGAAGAAATGTTATTCCGACATAATACGGGCAGTTGAATGCACTCTATTTGCATGTGACGCGAGAGCAAAAATTTAAAATAGAAACGCAAATTAACATTACAGTCCGTCCGACGGTATAATTTCATCAGAATTGTCGGAATAATATAGGCAAGAAAGCATGCCATTTTCCATGTTCATAGCAAGCAAATGGAATTATACAAACGCGTATTCTTGTAAACTTTTCTCTTTGTGCTGCACATTTTGAAAACAAGATTTACTTTTATATTTTAACATGTTTCTGTCGACAAAATGTACTACAATAAAGACGCAAGTTAAAAAAAAATTGCCGCAACGAGAAGGAAAACTCTTTATACATTTTTTTTTTCTTTTGAATTTTTTACACACTCTCGTTATAACTGTTTAAAAGAAGGAAAAGGTTGTACGTAATGCCGAATTAATACGCGTCGCGAGCGTTCATTCGTGGAACATCCAAGCCGAGATACAATCATCGGAGATTTTCCTCGGTACATCGCATGTAATCGCGTTGTGACCTAAACGCGCCGCAATACACAACGTTATAGTCACGTGCAACGCCGGTAATGTTGGCGATTACATTTGCGGAAGGGAATCGGGGCGGACTTGGGAGGCGCCGAATGTAGGTCATGGCACGCGAGTCCTTGTCTGTCGGTGACGTATATCTACATTAGGGCGCACACTGTAGAGATGCGATCAAACTCGTATCGCAGGTAGACTAAAAACGATAAGATCGAAGAGCGTACGAGTTTTCGTTCGCAAAAAGACGAACTCGAGGTCAAATCGTATAGGTACTTAAAATCATTAAATAATTTTTCAACGAAACAATCTTTTGCCTATCTTTCGAGTCTATAAGTCGACTTTTTTTTATGTATTAATGTTCTTCGAGTTACGAGTGAAAAAAAGTTTGTCGTGAAACTATACTCGGAAAGGACAATTTTGCCAAAGTAAAAATTTAACTAGGAACAGATTTATAAAAATAATTTTGTTGAACCATTAAAATAATTATGATTGAGAGAATGTTAAAACTTTTTGCAGCACTACTCATCATACTTGAGATTATTGTGTAATTATTTTAATAATCCAACAAAATAATTTTTCTGCATCCAGTTAAATTTTTAGATATTTCAGCAAAATCGTTCTCTCCGCATAGAGAATCAGATTTTAAAAAACACATTTTTCAGTTGATTTTAAATAAAAAGTTTACTCTAACAAATTTTTGCTTTAAAATAAAATATCATAAAAGATGCAAAAACTGAATAGTTACAACAAACTATAATCTCTTTCGGGTTTTTACTAAATAAAAATTAACTTTGAATTGTTAACCAGAGAATTTATCAAAAAACAAGAGTAGTTATGAATCTTACATATAAAATTATTAAATGTCTGTAAATTATTTAAAAATTGCTATCAAAAATTTTACAAATTTCTCGATTAAATTTATATATATTTTATTTATTTGTTTAATTTTATTTTTATTTATTTAATTTAATCTAATAGAATTATTATTTCTCTATCTTTTTCTTTCTCTCTTTTGCAAAATTCTTTTGAAGAGAAATATATTCAAATTTACATCTCTCTGCTTTTCATACATACATACATACATATGTATCCATCAATCTCATTTCTAGTGAACTGAATGACCTTAAAATGCTGTAACTGCATCGGTCGCGATGCAACGTTTTCCCATAGGCAGGAAATCATTATGTAATCGATGCCTGCAGGCTATTTTTATCTCCAATTTATGCGTCCGTCGAATTTACGACGTGGCTTGCTGGAGCACCTACATAACCACCTACATAATCCTCCAATAAATTCGATTTTACTTGGATGAAGTGAAACAATCTATATTATTTACCTATTGCAGAATATAATTCCCATTCAGCAATTACCTACTTTGTAGATATATTCGTTATATTAATTAAGCCCCGGAGAATCTAATTTGCTAATGGAGCCTTGACATATTTCCTACACGATCTATAAATT